GCGAACATCTGCCAGTCTGAGGATAAATGCTATTTAAGTTTGGTTTCACCGAGTTACAAAATCAAAACTACTTTCTACTGGTAGTAAAATATGTATTTGATTGATGGCCAATAGGATTTTGCATGGCATAGCTTATAACATAACAATTTCTCTCGTGGAAGCGAGGTGGGTGTCAATATAATACTACTTACAGTATTATTGTTACTTCGACCACAACCTCGCTTCCGAGGAAGAAATCGTTATGTTACAAGTTGTGTCATGGAATTATGGTTATCAATCATGTACATATTTTACTACAACTAGTAAGTAGTTTTGATTCTTTAACTTCCGTGAAGCGATCTGAACACAAGTAAGATATCGTTTCAGGCTTCCACAACGCTCGCTTCGAACTCACAAACATAACCCATTTAGCATGTCTTCGATGATGTCGAGAAATCATCAAAATGACGAGCTTGCTACACACTTTATATACAACTAACTGAAAAATCCTTCTTCATATGACGTCACTGCAGTGCTCTGGCGACAGAGTTATGCAACTTTTAATCGCTCTGTATTAATTAACCACAAGTTTTTTATGAATGAATTTGGTGTTCCGCATAAGACAAACCACAAATCTTTCATATGTTATAGTTAAAAGAGTACAAAAAAACAAAGTTTATTTGTTCTTTAATAAAAGAACTGTCAATGTCTTTGACTCAATATTAATAAACTGAATCGAAGTGTCCAGTTAGGAATCAACTTTTATGAACATGTAACTAGAACTGGTTTGACTAGAACTGAGAATTGTGTTAAATAATGTCATTAGTATTCCTCAATGAGTCTCTCAGGTGGCATCACTGAACGACCACTTCTTGTGACTGTTTTACTGTGCATGTTATCAGTTTTTGGCAGGAATGGCATTTCTGGCTTGTTGATGCAGGGCCTACTGTCTGGTGTTGTCTGTGTTGTTGTCTGCAGTTTTGTCTGCAGTGTGGATGATAATGACTCCACTGGTGTTGAGATCAGATCACATCGATTTCTTCTTCCACTGTACCATTGTCAGTTTTGATGAGGTACGATCTTGATGCGACTTCCTCAAGCACACATCTTTGCAGTCTCCAGTTGTCACTATCTTGGATTCACACTGGTGTTCCGGGTTGTAGCTGTGGCCGCTCTTTCTTCCTTGCTCTTCTGTCGTGGTATGTTTTCTGATTTTCTTTCAGGATGTCTTTCTGTTGTTGGATGTTTTCGCGTGATGGCGTTTTATGTTTTAACTCCTTCATCATTGCAGGTAAGTTTGACTGGATCCGATGTCCAAAGAGTAATTAATCTGGTGACTGTCCATGAGATAGAGGAGTACTTCTGTATGCAAGTGATCCTAGGCGAGGGTCTTCTCCACTACGTTTGCTTTTCTTCAGGATGTTTTTCACTGTCTGGACTGTTCTCTCCACTAAGCCATTGGATTGAGGGCATCTGGGACTTGATGTGATGTGAGTAATGCGCAGTCTCGGGTGAACTGGTAGAATTCTGCAGTTGCACAGAACAGCCCATTGTCCACAGTCACTAACCAATCTGTCTGGAATTCCATGTCGTGAAAATATAGACTTCAATGTTGTGATCACTGCTGTGCTTGTTTGGCTGTTTATAGAGATCACCTCTGGATAGTTGTAATAGTAATCAACTACCACAACATAGTTTTTCTTTTCAATCTCAAACAAGTCAGTGGCGACCAATTGCCATGGTTCAGTAGCTCGCTGGTGGGTAATCATTGGCTCTGTACTCTGTTTTGGCTTGAAAGTTATGCAGGTATGACACCTTCGTACCAAATTCTCAATGTCCCTATTCAATCCTGGTCAATACAGTAGTTCTCTGGCGTGAAGCTTGCATTTTTCTTCTCCTTAGTGACCAGTGTGTATCTTTTCTAGCATCATGCTTCTGAGATTCTTTGGAATTACAACTCAACAAGACTTGAAGATGAGTCCATCAATTACTGAGAGTTCATCTTGCTGGTTCCAGTAATTTAAGTAGGTCTTTCGGGCAGTTTGCTCTTTCATTTGGCCAGCCAGCTAGAATTGTGGTGTAGAGTCGGTACTTGATGGGATCTTTCTCTGTTTCTTCTTTTATTTCTCCAAAGCGATCTGCTGACATTGGTAGACTGGTCATAATTCCATCGACGAAAGCTTCAATGTTGTCTTCCATTGTATTTACTGGTTCTTGAGTAGCAAATTTTCTTGATAACTCATCAGTTGCATACATTTCTTTACCTGGAGTGTACATGACTTTAAAATCATACTTCTGCAGTCTTAGGCGAAATCTTTGTATTCTGGGTGGACATTCATTCAACCCTTTGACTAATATTGGAACGAGAGGCTTGTCATCAGTTTCCACAAGAATGCTTGATCCATATACATAATTATGCAAGAAATTGCTACCTATACATAAAATATGGAACTTTGTGGACGTATTGCTCTAGGTTGCATCCAAGCCCTTAATCTGACATATAGTCAGGTTTACAAAGTTGTAAACAAATCAGTTACCTCAGGGGTTGTGTCAAAATCAAAACCAGGTAGGAAACACAAACTGGATAGCTTTGATAAGGGTGTCATACGCCGTGCAGTTTATAAACTGTATGAACGCAAAATCCCACCGACATGTGCTAAAATACAAGATGAGATCAAAGATACAATAAATGTCCCGAAAACAACACTTTTTATAGCTCTGGTAGAAATGGGGTTCAGGTACACCAAATGGGGAGATGACAGAGCTGTGTTTAAAGAAAAGTACTCAATCCTGTCCATGCGATCAGCTTATTCCAGAACAGTTGAAGAATACCGCAATTTGGGGTTTCAAATTATATACTTTGATGAAACCTGGTGTAATAAAAATCACTCAACCGATTGGATGTGGCTTCCTTCAGATTGTTCTAAGGCACCAGTGTTACCATCAGGCAAAGGTAGACGCCTGATCATCTTGCATGCTGGTACCCGTAGCAAGGGACTGATTGGGGGTTGTGACTTTGTTTTTGAGGCCAAGAAATCTGATGGTGATTACCATAGCGAAATGAATGGGCAGGTATTTTTGGACTGGTTCTAACATTAGCTTTTACCGCAGCTGGACAAACCAATCGTTATCATTTAGGATAACGCCAGTTACCATAACCTGTGTGTCCCTGGTACCTTCACACCCACCATGAGTAATCTCAAGGCTAAGTTGTAGGATTTTCTCACTTCCTGTAATGTGACTTACAGGCAATCAGAAACAAAGCCCCAGCTCACGGAAAAAATCCGGCAGCAAAAAAAGCCAATCCAGTACATCACTGACGAACTAGCTGCAAAACAAGGCCAGATAGTTCTGCGGGACGGCATTAACATCAGACGAATTGCACCTGTTGTAATTCCACTAGAGTCCTCGACCAGCAGTGATACTGACACTTGATATTTTGAGACGGTACCTGACATGCACTGCCTGTGCATTACATAACGCTGTCAACCTGTCTGCCTGCCAGGTGGGTCACAGTATAGTTTGTTTCTTTGAAGTGTTTCTACCATGGAATTCTTTCTAAGTTTTTCGATATTTTACGAGTAATCATTATGACTAGGGAATGGTACAACGTGATTACTCATATGCCATATTAGGTTAAGGTGGTATGTATATACATGAGTTTTGAATCTGAAATATCAACCATTATCAAATAATTGCCAAAAAGCATTTTTCCAAGGATTTCCGGCCTTACTTTAGTACTTCATTTCCAGACATGGTTAGACATGACAAAGACCTTTGATATGAAATGTCATAAACTGGAGAGGAGAGTACCATATTGATCTCTAACAGAAGCAAGTCTCTAATAGATGGAGGTATGGTCATTGTGACGCTCTTGAAATAAACTTCACCCCTCAAATCATCTCACGTCCTTCTCACTAAATTTCTTATGTTACTCAGCCGCTCCAATGTTGCCTTTTTAAGGGCTTTTCTTGTTTGATATGTCACGTATACAAATGTTCTTTAATCAAACAATTTAAGCAATGATGTTTACATAAAATGATTATGTTATTTGAGACCTTGTCAGTATGAACATATACAAACTGTTAATACAGTGCAGACTGACTTTGGATGACATCTGGCTGGGACAGAATGGGTTTATTCCAATTCTGTTCCTCTTTTTCAGTTTGTGCTTTCTATCAATGATGTGATCATGCACTGACTCAACCCAAGCAAAAACATCCTATTGGTTACTCTTCTCTTCAGACCCATTTTTGGCATATTCCTCGACAACATCCCTAATGATTTTAAAGTCGTAATCCAAACTGGTAAAGAGGCTGTTCCTGATATTTAGGCCCTTATTTGAATAGTTGGTGAAGGTTGCTATTGTGAACAAAAAGTCCCAGTGACGGCATGTCCCAAAGCTGTGTAGAAAAACAATGAGTATTGGCAGGCAAATGAGGCAGATTTTACATCGTGATCTGCCAAGTACACTTTCTGCAACACGTTCCTATAATTGAACAACCTGGATGAAATTGTGTTCATATTGGACAAGGATAGTATGGTATTTCCTGAAATCTGAAATATTTTGGCGCATTTTGGGAAAATGATTTATGTCTCAGAATGTTACTAAAATTTAAGACATGAAAAAATTCTCTTTTTCTGTAAAGCATCTATATTTCCTTCATTGAAGAATTCCCTGACCAAAACTTTCAGTCATTAAAAAGACACTTAAATTTTATAGCCTTTGCTGTTATTTAGCAAGTATATTTTGGTAATGTAGTAGATGTAAGTCAATATTTGATGCAGAGTCATCATCTGACCCAATAGTGCTTTAATTCTAATTATCTTGGTCATCAAGAATGTGGTTCCATTGTTTCAGGTTTATGTATAAATCAACAGAAGATACCGTATTTGAATTCAAAAAGAAGAGCTTGGAACAATAGTTTCTTTAGATTGGTTTCATTGCTATTTGTATCATTGACAGCAATTATCATCTAAGTTCAGGTGCAACAACCAATAGTCACTCTATAAATATTTACCCCAACTTCAAAGACTGTTGCTCCAAATAGTTGCCAAGCCATGAGGACCTGAATAAATGATAACACAGCATTCTGAGGACTCATATCAAGCACAGTTTTGTGAGTTGTGGAGATGTCTTCAAGTCTTATTGTCATCCTCAAATCCCTTGGTAGTATCCTGACCACAGAACTGTAAGTAGATGAAAAGCACCATGAGACATTAACAAAGGAACATAAAATCGAAGTACTAACAATATGAAACAAGCAACTACCCACAATGTTTCCAAACCTTAAAGAATGGACTATTGTAGGAAATTGCTCTTCATACCAAATTTTAACTCTGTGCCTGATATACTTTCAAAGGGAAATATGTTTTCTAATGCCATACAACTTTTCCAAATGTTTCAGTGGGAAAAACACACACTAAAATCCCTCTGATCTCAACAAAATATGATGTCATCATAAGTAAAACCTTTTACAGGAAAAGATTTTTAGAGAATCAATAATGCATTTTGAAATAAATGAAGAGCGTAACATAACATTTAGAGGAGGAGAAGTGACTAAGTAATGGTCATTGAAAGTGATGCTAATATGGCCACCATGATTTGAACAACCACACAAAAATTTCCAAACCTTTTCAAATTTAATATGAATGTCAGACAACTTGCAAATGCCATACACATTCCAGGCCAGGTGAGCTAAAATGTGCTTGAGCAAATCTTCAACTCTTTGTACCTACATGTAGTATACAATTTAAAGTGTCATATGTGATGGCCCCCTATCAAATGATGATGGTAATCATATTCAACTATTTTCATACCGGTAAATACTGAACTATTGATTAGAACAAATATTAGCATTCAGCTATATCCAGCTAAATTGAACAACAGTTATCATTGTTAATAATTCTAATAATATTACAATTATAACATCATAGAGATAAATCCTGTATCTGTGGCTGTAAGGATACTAAAAATTCACTTCATATTTTCAACAAAAGTCTTTTGCACTGTCAACTTTCCACCACTAGTTGTTCCTGCACTTGTATAATCTACTTGCAAAACTTCTGTGCACAAAGATGGGAACACCTCACTCCTTGGATTCATTACTCCACCGAGACAGAATAGGTGGAAGTACTTCTGATATAATAATAAGAGTCATCAGAAGACGACAAATCCCACCGGTCCCCATAAATTTGAAAGAACAAATCAACTAACAGTTACTTAAAGTCCTTCATTTTTTCTTTGGACTAAGTCCAAATTGATTCCATGGAAATCATAAAAATTAAAAATGCCAAAAATCTGCAAATAGCAAAAGGCAATACTTCAAGATCTGTTTGATATATCTGTCAAGTCTTGTAGAAAGATATTTAACAGTTTTCGAGTTGTGATCCGGAAACGAAACCCATCCCTCCCTTTTAAGACTTTCCATGGAAACAAACAAATTTATAAATGACAAAAATCTGTAAATAGCAAAAGGCACCACTTCAAGATCTGTCTGATATATGTGCCAAGTTTTGTTGAAAGATATTAAGGAATTTTCGAGTTGTGCTCCGGAAACGAAGCCCATCCCTCCCTTTTGGGATTAAGTCCAAATCGTTTCCATGGAAACAAATAAAAATAAAAATGACAAATACCTGCAAACAGCCAAAGGAACCACTTTAGGTTCTGTTTGATATATCTACCAAGTCTTGCAGAAAGATATTGAACGGTTTCCGAGTTTCCGGAAACGAAGCTCACCCCTCTCTTTTGAGATTAGGTCCGAAACATTTCCATGGAAACCAATAAAATGAAAAATAACAAAAATATGCAAATAGCAAAAGGCACCACTTTCGGATCTGCCTCACATATCTGCCAAGTTTTGCTGAAATATATTAAGAAGTTTTCGAGTTGTGCTCGGGGACGAAGCCCACCCCTCCCCTTTGAGACTAAGTCTGAATCATTTCCATGGAAACCCGGGAAAAATAACAAGAGTCATCAGAAGATGACATATCCCCCCGGACCCCACATCTTTGAAAGAACAAATCATCTGACAGTTACTTAAAGTCAAGCTTGATTTTCGATTAAGTGCAAATCGTTTCCATGGAAATCATGAAAAACATAAATGACAAAAATCTGCAAATAGCAAAAGGCACCACTTCAAGATCGGCCTCACATATCTGCCAAGTTTTACTGAAAGATATTAAGAAGTTTTTTTGAGTTGTGCTCCGGAAACGGAAGCCTACCGCTCACTTTTGGGACTAAGTCGAATCGTTGCAAAAGCTTTAGGAGTATCAGCAAGGGTACTGACAAATGTTCTGGAACACAAACATTGTGAGGGTGATGCGAAGCAGGTAGGGGTCGTGTCAAAATCACACAAATTAAAACATTTGGACAACTTTCAAAAGAACCTTGTAAGGCAGTCTATCAACAAGCTCTATTCTGAAAACAAATACATGTCACTGAAAATGTTAAAAAGCATTTGAAGCAAGAACACAACCTCAGAATATCAAAGTACACACTCTGGCGACTCTTACACTCTTTCGGGTATCGTTATAAGAAAATTTGGGGGGAGAATAGGTCAGTACTCTGTGAACACCCTGATATCGTTCGCTTGAGAAATAATTTTCTCAGGGTTAAAAAGAAGAAGCGCGACGAAGGGTTCGAGCCAGTGTACTTGGACAAGACCTGGGTCAATGCCTCGCACACTGCCAGTAGTCGGTGGGTACCCGATGGGGGTGATAAGGGGTCACGTAGAAAGCTGCCTCTAGGGAAAGGAGAGAGACTAATCATTCTCCATGCTGGTTGCTCCAGCAAAGGTTTTCTCCCAGGCTGCGACTTGGTATTCAGGGCAAAGTCCACAGATAACAGAGACTACCATTCCGAGATGAATGGTGCGTTTTTCCTCGATTGGGTTAAAAACAAGTTCGTACCAGCTCTACCAGAGAAGTCTTTTATCGTAATGGACAATGCCCCATACCACAGCGTGCAGGACCCCGACAGTAAAGCCCCAACATCGAACAGTCGAAAAGGTGATATGATATCATGGCTCGACAAATTTCAGATCGCATGGCCTTCAAAGGCAACGAAGCCTCAGCTATATGAGATCATAAAAACCCACAAAGGTGAACCTTTCTACAAAGTTGACAGTTACATAAAAAGTAAGGGTCACGATATTCTGCGACTTCCACCCTATCACTGTGACCTTAACCCCATTGAAATGTTATCGGGTATTGTCAAAGGAGATGTTGCCAGATCAAACACAACTTTCAGATTACGTGACGTAGAGGTTTTGGTTAAGGAATCCCTTAACAAAATCACGACTGAAACTTGGCAAAACTGTGTCAACAAGGTAGCTAACGTCATTGAACAAGGTTACTGGTCTCGGGATGGCTTACAACAGGCAACTGTGGGACCACTTGTCATCCCTTTAAGTCGTGACTATGACACTACGACGGACAAGGAACCAACAGGTCTCCCGGAATAGATTTTGAGATGTCCCCAGCCATGACTGGTTGTTTCGTTTCTGTGGTTTAACCCCGCCGCGACAGATAACAACTTTTGCATTTTCAATGATGATAGTTTCTTAAACAACTTTTCCGGAAAATTTTCAAATATAAGAAAGCTGTTGGGTATTAGTAAATGATAAACATGTGTACTATTTATATTTATGTGGCAATTTTGTACAATGATAAAATTTCCAATTCATCGGTCCGTTTCTGTCTCAAACGGACTGTAATGTATGTAATCTTTTCCACAATATGCCAGAGTGAAGGCACCTCTTGAACACTCCTGTATGCAGGAGTTGTTACCTATGCAAGTTTGGACATCCTCCCAGTTTATAATTGTGTTAATTGAGCTGCAAATATTAAACTAATTTGAGAAATAAACTCAGAGATGCCAACCATAATTTTGCCCAATTAGTATTTAGGCCAAAAACTGATGCAAAAATTAGTATATATTTAATACAATATAGAGATATTCTAAGAACTTGTTATTAACATTGTACTTACCTAAATCAGTAGTAAGTATCCACATATAGCTTCAATCGTAGTCACATATTTTGTGTTGTTTCTTCGTAACGAATACATATGGGTTGGCATCTCTGTAAACTTGTTAATTTTGTCCATGTTTTTGTTGGGCAATTTGTTTTAAAGCAAATTTATTTTCATTATTGGAGTAAGTACTGTGCATAACAGCTTTACAGAAACTGTGAAATGAAATGGGGTTTAACCTCGTACAGAAAATGTGAGCAAACACATAGTTCATAGACTCTAGCTGCTTTTGCCATGGCTAATAGAAATGCAGCTGCCTTAGATTTATTGAGTAGTGTTGCCTTTGCCAAGGCTTTCAATGGTTCTGCTTTGAAGGTTGATAGACTAGATATTTAGGGCATCCATTTAGGGAATAATCTCGGGAATGCAAACATCTTCTAGCAAAATGAGGGGCCACTTGTTGTTGAGAAGAGAATTGTGTCTTATTTCACCTCATGCCTTCTCCACTGGAAGAACTTATCCAGTCTATTATAAAGAGTAGATGATGAGGTTTTCTCATTCGTAACTACTAGTCCCTTTCTGTAACCTAACAGGAGTGTACCTGTTTTACTGGGGACTAATTACCTTTACCTGCTCTCGAGAGTTGCAGGGAGGCAACTGGACCTAACTTTCTTCAAGTAAGCAAAATGCACACACCTTGGTATCTTGCATTGAGGAGTATCATATTGCAGGACAAGGAACTTAGAAGGAAGGATGGGACCCTAGGACTTATGCGTAGTTGTGAAGCATCGAAAGTAGTTGTACCTCCCAACAGAACCGTAACAATCAAGTGTTCCCTCTACAAGGAACTACCTCACTTGTGTTATGACAAACTTGTATTATGCTTCATCCAGCCAAGAAGCCATCTTTATCATCAGGGCTCGAGATAACCCCTGCACTGTTTCGTCCCCAGTACAAGTTCCTGTTCAGTTGTCAAACCTTACCAACCAGACTATAGTCGTTTCGCCTAGGGCAATCATCTGCGAGATACAGGCTGTCCAGATTGAGAAAGTTGCACCCATTAACTTGGAAGAGATTGCTATTGAAGTAAAACAGCACCCACTGGACAAGGTGAATATATCTCCAAAGGTTACTGAGGAACAGAGGAAGCTTGGTGAAGAGCTAATTCAGAAATACAGTGATGTGTTTTCTACAGGAGATTTAGATGTTGGCCACTA